GGCTTGTAACGCCTCCCGGGCCTGCTGCGCTCACTTGTCCCCTGGGGGCCGGGAGCGAGCAGCTGTGCGCCGGCCCCTCGTGTGCAGCTGTGGGGCCGGCCTTGGTTGGTGTGGCCCCCCAGGCTCGCGAGGCGCCAGTCGCCCGTGGGCCCAGGTGAGAGCAGGTGATGCTGCGAACAACAGTGCGAATGATAAAAGATGTACAGTAATAAAAGCCTCAGGAACTTGCGTGTGAATATTAAAAATTGGTACTAAGCAGCAAAATGACTTGCAGTAACCTAAACCAGGAGTATTACAGATACAGCCCATGGGCCGCATCTGGAGCGTGGAGCCCTAGCATTTGGCCCGTGGGTCTCCAACAAGTGCGCTGCATGCAGCCAGTGCTAGCCCTAGCCCCGCATGCGGCCTGGAGAGCCCAGCTGGTATGGACTGCATGTGACAGGGGCAGGCGGGGTGTGTGCTGCATGTGGCATCCGCACTGCACCAGGCCTTGCACACTGGATCTGGGGCTAGTCCAGATTGGGCCCACAGACCAGCTCCCCATGCCAGATACAGCATGCAGGGCCGGTCTGGCATGGGTACCACATGCAGTCCGTGCCCAGCCCAGCCCTGTGTGACATGCGCTGTCAGACTGGAGATGGTACATGCTACTGCAGTGTGTAGGGTTTGAGGCGCAGCCTGCATGTACTGCCTGTATGCTGGATCTGAGGCTGGTCTGGATCAGGCCCATAGACTGGCCCTAAGTGCCAGATCCAGTGCACAGAGCCAGTGTGGTGCAGCTGCCGCATGCTCTGGACTGCTTGCACTCTCCCTCCATAAAGCAAATAGACATCCACCACAATAAAGCAGCACAAATTATTACTTCCCCTGGTTGGGACCACATATGTGGCATGACAAAGTGTATGGATATCTATTTGCTCTCACTCTGTTTCCACCCTTTGAGATCTACTGAGGAAAACTGCTGTATAAGAAACGGTTGTATGTAAGAATTTGTTACGATGATTCCTGTTTTATAGATGAGGTAACTTAATCAGAGAAATTAAATCAAATATCCATCCATTTTGTGGTGTACTTATGTAAGCATTGTACATAGTCATTTGCCAAATTCTATTCAGAAGGCTTTTTACTTAGGAAAAATGTCTGTTTCGTGTTTTTTAATGAAACTTCAATGTGTTTTTAAGTTACTTGCATACTCTGAAATTCTCGGCTATGTGCACCTAAATATGGACACAGGCTTCTAACATTAGTCATTTATTTTAAAAAAGCAACCAATACGATTCTGTGTGAACATCTTGATAAGCTCCATAAACCACCTACCTTTGATAAGCACTGATTACACTGAGCCCAATGGAAGGAAGAAGAGAAACCGTCACTAAAGTGTGAGAATCTTATGGTCTGATGCAGACAAAATAGTTCAAAAACACATGGTACAGTGGGTGCTGGGTATACTTTAAGGTGACCTAAGAAGTGCCCTCTATGATCTGAAAGAGAGAAATAGCTACTCTTTAGATATAAATGGGAAGACCAAAGCATTCAAGAATTTTGAACAGCCATGTAGTAGCTGGAACAAGTGAAAAAAAAAGAAGAAAAAATGTTGGTAAAGGGAGGCAGAAGTTAGAGGGAATAGAGAGAGGAAACTGAGAAAGAAATACCATATATTTAATACGCTTTGGTAGCCATTGTTGAAAAGAGAGTACTATATACAACTCTGAAGACATATTTTTTAGAAGGGATATGACAGAGAAAATGTCTGTGGAAAACAGAACTATTCCAAGCACGCAGAGTGGTGTAGAAGACAGTAGGATAATCAGTTAGTTACCTGAAATGTTTATATGCTAGTGCATGAAGCATGGGGAATAAGCAGAAAGAATTAGGTGTCCTAGTAGAGTACAATTGAGGAATTTTGATGTATTGGGTAATTAAAGAGATGTGGTGGGATAGTTCACGGGAGTACTATCATAGATGGGTTTAGGAAGGAAAAGCAGGAGACAAAACAAGGAGGTGTTGCCCTATATATAAAGAAGATGTACATGTGTTCTGAGGTACAGTATGAAGTGGGAGGTAGACCTGTTGAATGCCAGTTGGGTAGAAGTCAGAGGAGAGCAGCTGGTGGGATGTCACCATGGGTGTCTGCTATAGGCCACCAAAGCAGGAGGAAGAAGTGGAACTCTGAACAACTAGTAGGCGTTTCTTTATCACACAGCCCGATTCTCATGGGTGACTTGAATTACTGCAACATCTGCTGGGAGGGCAACACAGGAATGTACAGGCAGTCCAGCAAATTCTTGGAATGTGTTGGGGATAATTTGTAGGTATAGATAGTGGAGAGCCCAACTAAAGGGGGAAGCTCTTCTTGACTTGCTGCTCAGAAACAAGGAAGAATTGGATGAGAAGGTGAAAGTGGGAGGTAACTTGAGTAACAGTGGGAGCATCTACATAGATTCTTAAACACTAGGGCTGGAAGGGGCCTCGGAAGATCATGAAGTCCAGCCCCCTGCCCCAGGGACAGGAAGTCAGCAGGGATCATAGGATCCCAGCAAGAAAAACATCCAAATGTCTCTTGAAGGCGTTCAAAGTAGGTGCTTGAACCACCTCCAGCGGCAGTCTATTCCAAACCTGGGGGGCTTGGACAGTAAAGAAGTTCTTCCTTATGTCCATCCTGAAAAAGTCATAGAGAAGTTTGTGACCGTTTGACCTTGTCATCCCTTGGGGTGCTCTGGTGAACAGACGTTCCCCCAAATCCTGGTGAGCACCCCTGATAAACGTATAGCTGGCCACCAGATCACCCCTGAGCCTGCACTTTTCCAGGCTGATGAGTCCCATGGCTCTCAGCCTCTCATCATAAGGTCTGTTTTCCTGACCTTTGATCATGCGTGTGGCTCTCCTTTGCACTCTCTCATGCTTCTCCTTTTTAAATTGTGGAGCCCAAACTGGACGCAGTACTCCAGCTGTGGCCTTACCAAGGTCGAGTACAATGGGAGAATGACATCCTGGGATTTGCTTGAGAAGCATCTATGGATGCAAGCCAGTGTTTTGCTAGCTTTACTAGCTGCAGCATCACATTGAAGGCTCATGTTCATCTTGTGGTCAATCATGGCCCCCAAGTCCCTTTCGTCCGTAGTGCTAGCCAGCGTAGCACTGCCAAGCCTATAAGCATGCTGCAGGTTTTTCTTTCCAAGGTGGAGAACCTTGCATTTTTGGTGTTAAACACCATCAGGTTCTCATCTGCCCATTTCCTGAGCCTGTCAAGGTCTGCCTGGATTGCCCTCCTGTCCTCAGGTGTGGACACTTTACCCTAGAGTTTGGTCAGTCCACTTCTGACACCAATATCTACATCATTAATGAAGATGTTAAATAGTATAGGCCCTAGGACAGAGGCTTGAGGGACCACACTGGTCACAGCGCACCACAACGATTGACTTCCGTCAACCACCACCCTCTGGGTCCTACCACAGAGCCAATTCCTCAGACAATGGATCGTGGTGAGGCCGAGGCCGCCGTTAACCAGTTTTGCCAAGAGGGGATACCAGATCGAAGGCTTTTTTAAAGTCAAGATATATGACATCAATCTCTTCTCCCTTGTCCAGGTGATAGGTCACCTGGTCATAAAAGGAAATAAGATTAGTTAAGCAAGACCTACCCGCAACAAACCCGTGCTGGCTATCCCTCAGGATTAGAGCAATTACTGCATAGTAAGCATCACCGTCTACACGTGCTGACCCTTGCTGCACAGTAATTTCCTCTACTTGAGGTTAATTTTCTGCTTTCAAATGCAAGTAGGAAATTAACTGACAAGTAATTACTGAACAATACAGCACATGTAGACGACTGACCAGGAGAAGATTTGCTCGTGGGCAGCAGGGGTTGGGAGATTGCTCCCTGCCCTGGGAGTTGCCTGCTGCTAGGGCAGGCGCTGCTGCCGGAATGTAGGCAGGGACAACGTCCCCCTACCCCAGCAGCAAGGAGCTCCCAACCCCTGCTCCCTGCCCTGGGAGCTCCCTGAATGGGGAGAGTTCCCTGCCCAGTCTGGAGCTGGCTGGGACCTGCCCCTGACTGGGACAGTTCTGGTCAGCCCTGGGCTGCATGAGGAAGTCTGCACGTGCAGCCTGGAGGTGGCTAGGGACTGTCCCATTTTAGGTAGTCCCCAGCCAGCTCCAGGCTGCACATGAAGACTTTCCATGGAGCCTGGGGCTAGCCAGGAGCTGTCCTGGTCAGGGGCAGGTCCCAGCCCTGCAGATTTTTCCCAGCCCTGTGGCCCAATTGGGCAATTGAGGCACGGGGCTTGGAAAGAGCTGCAGGGAAGGGAAGGTCCCAGCCCCCTCCCCCTCACAGCTCTTTGAAATTCCCCTGCCCCCGATCTGGGACCGGGAGCCCCTTGCTGCCAGGGTAAAGGGACATTGTCCTTGCCTGGGCTCCACCACTGGAGCTCACCCTGGCAGCACGCAGCTCCTGGGGACAAGGAGCAAACTCCAAGCCCCCAACTGGAGGCAGCTTAAGCTGTTTCCTGACCCCATGCTCCCTGCCAGCCCCTGGCATCCAGGGGAGCCTAGAGCTCTCCCTGGCTGCTGCAGGGGGCTAGTGCAGGGCCAGAGCGGGTGGGAGCAAACTGCTGCCAGGAGCAGCAGATTTGCTCCTGAATCTCTGCACATGTAGACTCCTGCCCAGGGTGGGTTTACTCTAAAGTCATTTACTCTAGAGTAAACCCACGCTGGAGCATTTGCACGTGTAGATGCACCTAGTTATCGTGAAATGAAGAGTTCAAGATTCTAAGGAGAGGAAGGAAGAAGAGCAGCATGGATAAAAATCTGATTAAAAAAAAAAATCTGATGCTTCATTTTTTAATTTAAATTATAATTAAGTTTTTTCTTTTAAAAAATAAACCTGCTTAAAATAAAATTTGAATTTGATGCAGCATTGGCTAAGGTATGAATTTAGTAGTAGTAATACTTGGGTTTTCTTTTCAAACCGTATAAATCGAAACTATTAAAATAATTTAAATAACATAATCTGTTGAGTGAGTGAGCCTCTACTAAAAACTCTGAAGTTTAAAGACTGGTTTTCTTCTATAGAGGAATGAGAGGGGAAAACATCTACCTTTTGAGATCACGCTTTAAAAATATGGCACAATATTTTATGTATTAGGGGCTTGATCCTGCAAGAGATGTGGGGTCTACACTCCTGAATGAAAAAGATTAGAAAAGTCATCACAGGTGTTGGAACCTGGCCTCAGACTCCACCAGACACCATCCTGTGTACCCATTGGTCAGTGCTGTCCACCTGGATGATATCAAACTCCTGTTTTAGTCTCTTTACCTGAGTTCTGATTAGCTCACTCTCAAATTATGAATATTTATGATTCTGTACTCATAATGGAGTTAATCATTTAGGGTGCATATACACGTGTTCCAGCATGTTCTGATTTGAACATGTTGGAGCAGACTGGATTAACTGAGTGTGTTGGAGCATTCTAATTAGAATGCTCCAGGTGCTGCAGTGTCTCGTGTATTCAGCATCCCATGTCTCAAAATGGTGGTGGGGACATGTTAACCAAAGTTCATCAAATTAACTTTAGTTAAAGCGCCCCCACCACCATATTGATATGCAGGATGCTGAATACATGAGATGCTGTGGCGTTTTAAAAGGCCCCACCCCCACACTGGAGCCCATGTAGAGGTAGCCCTAATGAATAAGAAATATATATTTCACCATTTCATAGCATACTAAAATGTAAGATTTCTTATAATCCAAATATGTAAAGGGGTGTGTGTGTGTGTGTGTGTGTGTGTGTGTGTGAATGTATAAAATCTAGTTTGTGTACCTAGGAAACGCATGCACCAAATCTCTGAAAAAAAATGTACTTAGTTGGAAATCAAGATGTTTAAATTTTTATATCAACTAATGAAAGAGCACCTTTCTTACATACACACACTCATTCATGTATTCATATATACACATACATACATACATGCACACACACAACAGGAAAGTTGATAAAAATCAGTGATTTTAAATTAGGCTTTTGGCTTGCTGATTTGAGTGATTTAAAATACACTTGATTTAAATCAATTCACCATCAAGAAGAGCAGCAGAATAAGGACACTGGACTTCAGAAGAGCAGGCTCGGGGAACTGGTGGGTGGGATCCCCTGCGATGCAAGTCTGAGGGGAAAGGGAGTCTGGGAGAGTTGATGGTACTTTACAGAGGCCCTTTTAAGGGTGCAGGAGCAAGCTATCCTCAAGGAACCTGTTTTGAAGCACCTGGAGGAGAGCAAGGTGATCAGAAACTGCCAGCATGGATACATCAAAAGCAAGTCATGCCTGACCAACTTGATTTCCTTCTGTTTTTTTGTGGTTTGGGGGAGAACAGTGAATGTGATATACCTTGACTTTAGCAAGTCTTTTTACACTATTTATCATGACATTCTCATGAATAAGATAAAGGAATACAGACTTAATGAAAGTACTGTAAAGGGGGATGCATAAGTGGTTGGATCATCGTGCTTTATAAGTGAACATCAATCGTTCAATATCTAGTTGGAAGGAGGTATCAAGTGGGGTTCCCCAGGAGTTTGTTGTGGGTCCCAGTATTGTTTAACGTCTTCAATAATGATTTGAACAATCGGATTGAGTTCATGCTTAGCAAATTTGTAGGTGACACCAAGTAAGATGGAGTTGCAGACACTCTGGACAGTAGGATCTAGAATGACCTGGATAGACTGGAGAAATGGTCTGAAGCCAGTCAAATAAAATTCAGCAAGGACAAGTGCAAAGTCCTGCACTTAGGACAGAATAGCTGTATGCACAAGTACAATGGGAAAAGACTGGCTAGGGTTGTATTGCAGAGAAGAACCAGTGGAGTATGAATATGAATGAACAGTCTGCTCTTGTTTCAAGAAAAGCCAACAGCATACTGGGTCGTAGTTGCACAAGTGTCACTTGCAAATCAAGGGAAGTGGTTTTTTCTACTATATGGCACTGGTGAGACCTCATTTAGAGTAGTGTCAAGTTTTGGGACTCACGTTTCAAATAAGGTATGAACAGATTGGAAAGAGTCCAGTAGAAAGCGGCAAGAAAGATTAGAGGCCTGGAAAACAAGATTTATGAAGAAAGGTTGAAAGAACTAGGACTGTTTATTCTGGAGAAGAGAAGATAGAGGGGGACTGATATGCATCTCCAAAACAGTGACGGGTGGTTATTATAAAGAAGATGGAGATTTCGTTTTTTCCATGTGACTGTAGGTACAGGGCTAAGAGCCATGGCTTCAAGGTTCAGTGGAGGAAATTTAGATTGGAGTTTAAGAAGAACTTGCTGACTATGAGAATGGTCAAGCATAAGAATGGTCAAGCACAGGCTACCCAGAGAATTTGTAGATTCCCTATCCTTGACATTTTTCAAGGGCAGTTTTAGACAGACCCTTGGCTGGGTGGTTTAGTCAGGCATGATCCTGCCTTGACCAGGGGGCTGGATTAGATGACTTTATGAGGTCCCTTCCAACCTTACTTTCCTATTCTCCTAAGAAAGACACAAGAGGTGTAGTTGAGAGATAAATTAAGTCAATGTTTTTTCCCCCTTCCTATTTTATATATCTAAATGTAGGTAAACATGTAGAATCATTGCACTATTTTCAGATCTGCTAAAGTATTATAGCACTACCAATTATCTGAAAATGAAGATGGCAAGAAACCTCATTTATTTATTTTCTAAGGTTTTTTTTTTGTTTTTATCTTATTCATTTGGCTTCTGATGATCAGTTTATGTTACTGGATCATTATTTTAGGTTTGCTGACAAATGGATAAAAGCTACATTTCTAAAGTGTGTCATGATAGCGGTGATAACTCAGAAAAGGAATATCATGGAAAGAGAGACCTGTCTGCACCTGGTTCGGCAAAATACATTAGGAAAGCTGTTGAAAACATTTTGACTCTTCCTTCAAAAACTCTGGATTTGAGTGAAAAAAAAATCCAACATCTCACTGAGGATATATATAGATTACCCGATCTACAAGTGAGTAAACTGTTCTGGGCAACTCTTTATAATTATACCTTTGGCCTACATTTTCTGCTTAATAGTTAACAGCCACATTCTATTTTTCTTGATGTGAATGGAAAATATAAAGATTTTTATCTATGATTTAACATCTATTTTCTGAAAACTATTACCTGATTATTTGTTTGTATAATTTACAAAAATGATTTTTATCTGTCATCTCCTATATATATATTTTGTGAAAATGTCATTATTAAAATAGTTCACAGTTCAGTTTATTGGCATTTTAACATTAAAGTTCTGCGTGCCAGTGGAACAGGCATTCCAATGTAGGTCTAGTTTTAAAACATATTTATATTTTTCTGCATTAGCATTTGCATCTGGAAAGAAATCAATTGGCTGTAATTCCTGAAGATTTATTTCAGAAGCTGCCAAATCTTGTTTGGCTGGATCTTCGGGATAACAAAATTAAAACTCTCCCCCCTGGAATTGGATGTCACAAGTAAGACCTTTTGTTTTATTGATAATTTAATAACTAATTTATTCTTCCTCTATTTGTCTCTAATGTAATTTTCTTCTAATGTTCAAACTTATGCCCTTTTGCTTTACATTGACCTCAGACCTGAGGATCAATAAACAAAATTAAGAACTATATTTAAGACAAGACTCAAATTAAATTAACTGGAGGACCTAACCAGTACAGTATGTCAGTGCACAGACTCTTACCTATAGAAACATAAGGCCTGGTTTTCCTTTCACTTCAGCTCTACTATTTCAGCTGACTTACTCCTGTTTCACTGGTATAAATTAAAAGGAAAATCAGGCCCACAGTTTTAAATCCTGATTTGGATTGTAAGCAAGAATGAGATTGGTAGTTTCTTTCAGTCTTTTAAAACAGGGGTCGGCAACCTACAGCCCATGGGCCTCTGGCCTGCGGACGTGGGGCTTCAACAGCTGAATTTACCCAGTTCAGGTCCGAGGATCTAGTCAATGCTTGATCCAACCTAGGATCTAGCCAGCACTGCCACTGCTTTTCCCTGTGGCAGCATCTGCAGCCAGTGTTTTCTCCTGCAGAACTGGTCAGATGCAGAGCCGTGACAGAGCAGCTGGATGCCAGAGGCAGCGGCAACTTCCAGCCATTGGTGTTGCCAGTACACTTGCACAGCTGTGATTGCAGCTGTTGTTTTTCCTCAACCTCCCCTTCCGCCCCCACCAAGTCAGCACCTGGGGCTGCTGCCTTGATTATCCTGTCTTCGTTATGCTGCTGGTTAGATGTAAACCTGTATCAGGTCTGATTAAATTAGATTTGTGTAGGCATGGATGCGTGAAAGGTCTTTAAACATCAAGAGGAAGATTTTTAAGCTTGATTATCAGAGGGGTTAGCCATCAAATAAACTGAGTGAATAATGGGATATGAAAGAGTGCTTAAGATACAGAAAGCTAAACCTATGCAAGAAGCCAAGAGTATAGTTTCATAACTTATCATTTATTGAAGTTTCAGGCATCGGAAGGACTAAAGACCACAGTTTTGACAATACTATATCAACATAATTGGCATAAATGAACAAGTAACTTTTTCTGTGTTGAAAGAAGCATTGAGCCAAATTTTAAAATTGATGTGTTTTAGTCATATAATGGAATCTTAGCTTATCCACTATGGCTAGTGTGGGAAGGAGGCGGCCTTTGAAAACAGTGAAATGCTGTGGAATTTTTCAAAGTCAAACATGATCTCTTGGAATTTTGTGATTTAATATAGATAATTAATGGAATTTTAAGATAATCCAAGGGCTTGGAAAGGTGAACCTGTCCAGTTGAGGAGATCGAGAGCCTGTCTCTGCCACAGAATGATCTGCTCAACATTCTAGAGAAACTTTGTAGAGTTTCCAGTTCCTGTTACATTTTCTCAGCAATAATGATTAATAAAAAAGGGCATAAATCAAGAATATGGGCTGCTTCCTTACTTTTGTTAAAAGTTTCCCTGGAAGACTTAAATAGTAATGTCACTAAAGGTATTTCTGCCCACAGTTAAGGGGTAAAGTTGAACAGATCCACTTGTACCATATTGAGAGAAATATGACTGTGATGATACAGTCTAGCTGTCACTAAAGCTTATGGGCTTACTGTACTTAGTGTATGCAGGCTATGTGAAATAGCTGTCTTGAGCTTAGAAAATAACACAGTATGCTAGAAAAAATGCATGTAATCAAACAGTTGCATACTGTAGCTTTTTATATATTATTAACATACTTAAATATGAAACTGATACAAATAAGGCAGTTGTGACATAAATGTATATGCTGCCTGTGTTGTATGTTCTAATCCAATAAACTGAGAAATAACATGATAATTATTTCATATTCTAAAAGCTAGTTATTTTCATTTCATGAAAACAGGAGTGATCAGAGCTGTTTTTAGATGTAGTTTGTATGGCATAAACCTTAGTCAATGAGCAGCACTCTTATTGGAAGGAAATATTCAGGCTTTTATGTGTAGGCTTTCTTCAGTGTAAAATTGTGGCCTGAAAATGTGAGAGAAATTCAGTTTTTTCCTCTCATAGGAACAGAATACCTTAGAAATCAATTAAAGTTTAAACTAAAAATCATACTAATTTGTTTTGCAGCTTTATCACAAAACCTTATAAGAAATTCTTAAGACTTTGTTGCCTTTATTTTAAAAGAGAGCTCTGCCTTGACTCTATAAGTAAGACTTTTTTTCATAGTAACATTGAAAAATTTACATATAAAAAGATTAAACTTCTACCTTAAACCACGAAAAGCATAGAAATACAGACCTGAGTCATGCTGATATTAGATAAGACTGAATACCACTGTGTCTTGTTGCAAGAGGGTTATTATTTGATTATCTTTTAAAGTTAAATTGGGAAATTAATAATTTGTATTTTCAGAAGTGAGACTGTCTTCCACAGCTACAGAAAGATTTTGGTAAATGTGGCTAAAAATTCTAAATTCCAAGTCTGTCATTTCGTGGGATATAAAGCAACCAGCTGTATCCACATAGTTGATTCTGATAGCAGCTAATAATTTCTCATAGGTTCAGATACTTTGGCAGGGTCTCTGTCTGATTTTGAGGTCTGACCCAAGGCTGACTGATGCCAGTAGAGCCTTTCCATTGTCCCTGGATTTTAGATTAGGACCTTATTGAATAATCACAAGAAAAAAGATACGCTAGGAGTACTTGACTGTCTTTAATTGAACTTCAGTTTAATCTAATTCAGTAAAATAATACGCAAAAGTGTTTTGTGTTTTTTTTAACATTTCTCTGTTGAATTGAATCACCTTTAAAAAATATGAATCCAGAGCCACGTGGCTGACAAAATATATATGTTAAATAAGATTTTTGAGAGAGAAATAACTGTAGTGTTAGAAACCACTCAGCATGTTTTCCCGTTGTTGAATTTTCACATTATAAATTTGTTTTATCCATTTCATTCATCAAAATGCAGAAGTAGCAGCTTCTTTGCTTGGAAACTGTATCAGATTTTATCTTGATGTTAATGTTATAAGGGAAAATCTCTGAATGCAGAGTCCATCTAATACCTTGTTTATACAAATACATGTAATTAAAAATACCAGCTAGATATTACATTTAAAAATGTTGTAAACTTTTACTGGCATTACAAAATCAAGCACTCAAGTTAGGAAATGTTTGCATTCACTATCCCTAAAAGGTCCCAGTTCCGGGGTTTCTTGACTAATCAGTTTTGTCCTGCCCTTGTGAGCTCCTCTCTAAACCAGTGGTTCACAACCTTTTTAGACTCAAGGCATCCCTCCATAACTTTTAGGAATTTAGTGCCACCCCGTTTGAAGACTAATTCATTTCTTCAAATGTCTCTGAAATAACTGAGCTCTTCTGGTTGAATTTAGCCTGAGATATATGCTCTGTAAGGACAATTTTAGGCCAAATGGTTAAGGACTGGCTAAGTGTAATAAACTGAAAATGGGATCTTGTAAGGGAAGCTATTAATCAAACTTGATAATAGTGATATAAGCCCCAGCAATAATAATTAAAGCAGCAGCAGCCAGTGTTCATGCTAGAGTGGCCATCTGTCTTGTTTTATACCGAACCATCCTATTTTTAAACCCTTTGGCTAGGGAGAGACATTCAAAAAGCCTGAGCCTGAATTGATTCAATCTTTGCAGGTTAGTCTAAACTGGCTAGGCTAAACTGGTTTGTAAGCACACAGACATCCCCTCTTGACTGAAGAAATGCTGGCACATACCTGCAGTGGCTCAGGCTAGAAGCCAGGGGGCACTAGAGCAATCTTCCCTTTTCTTCTACAGTGCTGAGCTGAGGGGGGGCATGGTCAGGGTCCAGCAGGACACTCTGATTAGGACAGGGCCCTCGGCCCCAGCAGCCCAGCAGGGAGTTGATAACACAGTGTTTATCACCTCCAACTCACTATTTATCAGCCCATTAAGAAAACAACAGTCTCTCTCCATTTGTTCAAGCTCTTCTTAAATAGCTTTTCCAAGGAAGAAACAGAGGGACATTACCAGCTACCTGTTGATTAGCTCCAAAAAGCCGTAAGCTGACACAGTCCTGTCTGCCTTTGTCCCATCTCCCATGGCATGGACTGTAGCCAGCATGTGATATACTAGCTAATGCTGAGAGGTGTCTGTGTAAGGCGGAGGGGAGAGGGGATCCCTGCTTGAGGAGGGGGAGGAGAGGGAGCAAGAGGAAGCCTGGCAGACCCTGCTGTACAGTCTCTGCTGGAGCTTCAGCCAGGGAGCAAAGGGGAGGGGCCAGCCCAGAGAACATGCCAGGATGCTGGGGGACTCTGAATTAACTTAAACCAGGAAGGGGCCTGGGACAGACATTGCATAAACTGGTTTGGCCCAAATCAGTCAAGTCTGATGCTACATTCAACCAGATTTATCTCAAACCAGTTTCAGCCATTTTCAAACTGGTTTATGTGCACTGAGCTTCTGTTCTGTTACAGGTTTAAACCAGTTTCTGATCACTGAAACCAGTTTACATGTAATGTCTGCAAAAAATCCTGTTTTTCTGTTCACTGGTGGAAATATGTCAGTCATTTATCCTTGCAATTCTGTTGGCTGTGCCTAGAGGTAGGGCTGTGCACAGCTAGGAGGAGCAGGGCTCCCAGCCAGGGAGGGAGGGAGGTGGCTTTTTGCCGTAGTCCCACCCCTCACTGCTGATTGGCTGAGGAGGTGGTAGCCCCATCCCTTACCATTGATTGGCTGAAGGGGCCTGCCTCTCACCAAGGGGATGTGCCAGTGGCCACCCTAGTCCTTTCACCAACTGCTCCTGCTGCAACAGCAATGTTATGAGGCTGCTTTTGCATCCCCTGCAGGGATGGCCGATGATCTTGGTGCTCTTCCTAAATTGGCACATGGGGCTGGTGCCCCTATTCCCACCCCTAATAATGCTGATTGCTTTTTAATTGTACTTGTGTTATAACTTGTTCCTGTTAATTTTTCTTTTACAATTGTTACTGTGTTCTGTTTTCTTAACAGGCAGTTGACAACTTTACTTTTAGAAGGAAATCCTATAAAAAGATTGCCTGTGGAGCTTGGCAAGTACTTACTTCTTTTACAGAAGCCTATACTTCAAAAAAAGTCCTAGCAATTTTCTGTTACTTTGGCTTTTAACATTTAATGCTGTAGTCAGAATCAATATTGGTATGTACTAAAATGTCTAAATGTAACCAACACAAGCTGCTGCCCATTTTGTAGTGAATATGTGCTTTATAGTAAAAGGCAATTGCTTCATGAAAGCAACGCACCAGTAAGTAGCAGCCTAAACTCTAAGTCTGGATCATATTCATTGATAGGAAGGAAAATGTTCACAAATATATTTCTCCATCATCCCCAATACAGGAGGGATTGGCAGACTGTTCAAGCAAGAATACATGTCAAGGATCACAAGAACATCTTAGAGAAGCAGTTGACAACCTTTTTACACTAAGGACTGGAGTGACCCAGCTTGGGTCAGAGGAAAGTAGAAAGGCAGGTTTTAGGGCCCAGTCACCACTGGCACTCCCCCCCTAGCCCCTCCAAGTGGCACAGGGGGGGAAAGTGAGTACTGCCAAAGCCCCCATCTGTAGGCCAGATTCAGCCCATAGGGTGTACGTTGCTGACTGCTGTTTTTGAGCATCCACATTATAGAACCTACTACTACAGCTGATGAAAACAGATTTTTCTATGGAAAGTCTGAAGTTAAAAATACTTCAGTTTAGGACAAAGGCTGGATTTCTGTGGATATTTTAAAAAGGTTTTGGATACGTCAACCTATCCCCAAAATTCTATTTCTTTAATGGAACAGAATGAGTTTCCCTAAAATCCTGGGGACTGTCTGAGCCATTTCTGGGGACAGTGGCAACATGGAATGGGCAGCCAAGAAGCCTGAAAGCCCAAGCTCCCATTGTGGTTCTCAGAGCTGCCAGTCCCCTAGCCCAAGTGTGAGGGCTTTGGGGGACCAAAGTCTGAAGCTGGAGTTATTTTTTCCAGGATCCTTGTTGCAGAGCCAATGTATATATACCTTGCCTTCTGTAAAACAATGCCAGCTATATTATATTATATTACTGTATACATAAAACAGTATAAGGTAATATGATATACTGGGAGGAGTACCTTGCTGGAACTATGTTCCATTCAAAAATCTTCAAGTGGTCTGCTACATGACATGGGGTAAAGCAGTGTTTCTCAACCTTTTAAGTAGGTTTAAGAAATATAATTTTGTCTAAAATTATATTTCTATACTAGCAAATTGGCACTTCTGGTGATGACATATAATTTTAATAAGCACTGTATCGAAATAAAGAGTGAGCAGTGCAGTGATTAAGAACCCAATTTTCTTGTTCCCCTAGTCCTCCCTGTTCCACCTCAGTATCTGTGCATCATTGAGTCTTCCCTTTTTTGGATATATGCATATTCAGTAGGCCATTCTTAACATTTCTTTCTACTTTCATCTTCCCTTGGCACAGAGGTAGATTAAATGATCTAATCAGTGTTTTCCATTTCTAAATTTCATACGTCTATGAGTCTCCTGCGTATTTATAGAGACAAGCATCATCAAGTTAGTGGTCTAACAAGATAAAAAATAGATTTTATTCTTCCAGTACCGAAGATTACAATTCTCATGAATCATTCTTCTCATTTCTGTTCAAAAATAGATTTAACTTACTACTAAATAATTTTAGATGTAAGTGGAATCTCAAACAGTTATTTAAAATTGCATTTTCAAAGTTATTTCTTTTTGATGACAACGTTGCTGTTTCACTTCTACATTCCATTTTATACTTCCTCGAAGTAATTTTCTGAACTGAAAGTTGTGACTATAGGGAAAGGAATATCAATAATTGTAGCTTACTTAACATTGTTTTTAGAATGTGAGATTTAGGCAATGGTTTGTATTCACTGAACTACAATATTACTGTTACTCAATGCGGTATTGAAAGTAAGCAGTGTGTGGTTACTTGAATATCAGGAATGCTTGCTTGTCTGACAACAAGAAATGCTAACATTTGAGGTATATTTTCACAAAACCAGAAGCAGTGATTTCACTACATAGCATTTAGTCCACGTACTTTAAATATTATATAATTTTAATTGCATACACTCTTGTAAATTCTATATCATGATATGTATATGGGATTGAAAATTTGCTTATATGTTATAGTCTAATAATCTGTAGTATCCATTGTAATTACAGTACAGCATTGAAGACTTGTCTGCTAGGTGGTAGGCAGCTGTGGTCTAGAAATATAATTCTTTATAAAGCTTTTCACTGTGACATTCTAATTGCCCACTAGTTTGATATGGTAGAGTCTCTTCTAACAGCTATACATCTTTTATAATGGAGGCATTTCTTCACAAATATGGATGAGGAATTGATAATGCCTAAATAAGATTGTCTATACTGTGGGTCTGACAACAGAACGTAGCCAACCTCTGGGGAACTATGATCAGCAAAGGTGCCTTTTTTCCTGCTGGATGGATATTTGTATTCATCTTGAATATTCTCATAACCTTTTGCACATTCTCTTTCACACAAGAACATATAAAGTATTAATCTAATTGCAACATCAGGCAGATGTCCACAGTGAGTACATCTACACGTGCCCCTACAACACTGTTGTTACTGCACCACCATTTAGTACTTTATGAAGTAAATAGCCATTACTGAGCTGTGCTGGTGGAGAACGGGTATTTTTAGCCGCTACGTCGCCCTAGCAACGTGCTATAGCGAGGGAGTGCATTGCTATGGTGACATAGCAGCAGCGTCATGGTTTGTGCTTGCTGATGCTACATCGCCGTAGAGTGTTGTTATGGTGACGTAGCATCACATGTAGATGCACCCAGTGTGTCTAGTTCTCAAAAATAGTTAACTTGAGCATGTAAATGAGACTGGGAACAATTCAGTCGTTTGTGCTTATATAGTAGTAGGAGGCAATATTCATACAACACTTCCTCTGTGCCAAGTCTTTCCTCAACTGTTTTTTGTGGGCATGCTTTGTGTGTTATAATACCTCCTTCGAGGGTTTCGTTTCTACAAGAAGTGGGCCATTCTATACCTTTAGGTTGTGAACTTAAAAGCAAAACAGGTTTAATCCTAGTGTAATTACTTGGAAAGGACACTTCTGTAGCATCTCCATATTCTTTTGGAAGTGATGGTGGTGATTCAATAGGTGACATCTTACTCTCTGAAACTGTACAGTACTTGTAGGCACCTTCCTTCTGGAGTTACAGTGGGTTGAATTCTCATTCCCAGCAATCCCAGGGTACTCGTACACCCACAATGAAAAAGGTAACATATTTTAGGTAATATAGCTTTAGTTATCCATGAGGTAAGGCAGGGATGGCAAACTCATTTGGCCCCACAGGCTGTCACTGGCACAGGGCTAGTCTGCAGGCCAAAGCAGGTTCCTCAGGCCAGCCCCATATCATGGGTTGAGCTGACAGGGCTGGTCCAGTGCAGGTGCCCCATACAACATGTGCCCTGGATCCGCCACATGCATGGGGTTGGAGCTGGTACACATGCTGCAATTGCAGCTCCAGACCTATGCAACATGTGCAGCACTCACTGGCCTTAGCCCTGGCCCTGAATGTGGCCAGTCTGGGATGCGTGGTGCATGTGGCATCCATGCCAGACTGAACTCCTACTGGATTTGGCATGCAGACTGCTCTGTGGACCCAGTCTGGACCAGCCCTGGATCCAGCACAAAAGATCAGGCCGGTGCAGGTGCCATATGCAGCATGTGCCCCAGGTAGGCCCTATACGCTCACTGTGCAGAGAGCACCAGTTTCAGCCTTTGGGGCACGTGGCACATGGAGCTGGTTTGGAGCATGTGCCGTATGCAGCATATCTGCCAGCCTAACCCTGCACACGGGATCCAGCATGGGTGGCTGGTCTATGGGCCTAGATCCAGCCTGCAGGGCCAGTCTGGTGTGGGTGCCTCACGTAGTGCATGCCCCCACAATGGCCTCATGCTGTGTGCAGCCTGTGCCAGATGGGCTTTGCATGCAGTGCATGGGGCCAGAACTAGTGTGTGTTGCATGTGGCACACCAGTTGGAGATCCACAGGCAGCACTGCAGGTGAAATGATAGGGATTTGTGGGCTGGCTGAGGCCCATAGGCCATATCTTTGACCTTCCCTGAAGTAAGAGAATGCACATGACCAGTTACTGCAGATTAACTGATGCACTGTAAATCCCTGCCCTCATTTACCACATGGTAACTTGTCAACATGCCCAGCCTTCAAGATGTTTAAGACCCTTGGTCTAGGTCCTTTGAAAGAATTACAAGATATCCCTTGTTTCTCATTCTGAAAAGTTTTTATCATACTGCTATCAAGTATTCCATTTTTACCTTGGAGTATATGTAAACGATCACTGAATGTGCAGCATGTGATGCACTTGCTGACTAATTTCCATACCTATCAAGACGACAGCTGCCAATTTTTTTTTTCTTGCCCACAATTTGAAAATAGAAGTGATTTGATTCAAATCTCGTCACTAGCTGTCCATCACCTTCCTTCTTAATTTCAGGGTAAAATTATACATTCTACATACACCATGCTAAGGGCATTTAAACACAAGTGTCCATACATTAAAGCTTATTAACTCATGCTAAGTGCCCTCAGAGTGTCTCGAAGTTATTCCAATTCAGGCAAGGGTTAACTCTAGGCTGTGCTACCTTGTTTTTGTTGGGTTAAGTTCAGTCTGCTCCATGGAGAGAAAATGAGCAATTTTCAATTCTCCAGTATCCCAGCATACACTTCTCCCAGTCTGTACCACCAGAGCAGAGAGAGTCCAGGTGTCCTGACTCCTAGTAACAAGTCAGAGCTGTGGAGGCAAGAAACAGTATTGACCCTTAACATGCGACTGCTCACAGCACATTCTAACTTTAACACTGCTTAACATTCCACAGATTTAGTCTGGTCTAATGTTTAACTTCACCTTCATTTTTTAGTGTCTCACCGACAGCCATAAATGCATTCAGTACTCCTCTAGGGCCAAATCCTGTTTCATTTTATGTGCCTGTATTGTACATATCTAGCTCTGTAACTGCAGT